AGGAGGCTGGGTGTTTGAGATTAAAGTAAATGCTGGACAAATACTCCTTCCATCCTCCAGCGGGCATGGTTGGGCTTGAACTGAATAGAAAACAAATTAGAATCTAACTTTATAAGCAAGGCTATCACCCATTCAGTAGGGTTTGTTTACACAGCCGTCTGCTACGAGCTCTGTGTCACCTAGTTGACACGACAGTCTTGATCTTGCTATGTGAGGGATTCTCTCACTTCTAAAAATAGTCCGCGCATTGCCCCATATCTTGCAACACTGGTGATGCCCCAGCCTAAGTAGGTCGGCACCATCGAAAACTAGGTCAAAGTGGGGCAGAACCGGCCTTTACCTATCATCAACCCTCAGAGTAAGACATGCGAGCAGATTGTTCTTCAGTTAAAACAATCTTTTTCGCATCTTCAAAAGAGATGTTTCTTTCATGCTTCAATTTAACAATTTTAGATTCACGCTACCATGTAGGGCAATCTTTACATGAAGAGCAATGGGCGCCACCACTGTTCACACATGTTGGATCATTGCTACAATCAGCGCTATCTGCACAGTTACCACCACAGCGATAACAAGCAGCTTGCTTTACACATGTTCTTGAACCATGACCATATTGCTGACACTTGTAGCATCTCAGTGGATTTGGGATATACAGGGTGCCGTTCCACTAACCGATCTTATCTAAGATCAATCTTAGCAAGTTACGCCAATTTTACAATCGTCTTAGCTAAAAGTTACACCCGTTCCACTAACCGATCTTAGGCCGATCGTAGCCGGTCCCGATCTTACGATCCGATCCAAGCTTAGATCGAGACTCTTTCGTGCGAGAGATAGAGGAATGAGAGGCACGAGTTATTTCCCTTTGCATAGTCTAGCAAACGATGGAAGTAGTTTACAAACCAACTGAGTGAGTGAGTGAGTGAGTGAGTTTAGATTTATGCCGCACTCAGCAATAGTCAAGCTATATCGCGGCGGTCTGTAAATAATCTAGCTAAGATGCATAGCGTTCACTAACACGAGCGTTCATGTTAGTGAACGCTATGTATCTTAGCTTTAAATAATCGAGTCTGGACCTGACAATCCAGTGATCAACAGCATGAGCATCGAACTGCGCAGTTGGGAACCGATGACATGTGTCAACCAAGTCAGCGAGCCTGACCACCCGATCCCGTTAGTGGCCTCTTACGACAAGCATGGGTTATTGAAGTTCAATATTCTAACCCGGGCCTTCATGGGTATTTTTCCAACCAAGAGTAAACGTGGAGAAAAAACCTAGAGCAAAATATTAGGGTAGTGAGCACCTTGGTTTCAGGTGCAAGTGCGTGTGAACGCTGGGTAACAGGCATAATATAATGATAATAAATGCATATTTATAGTACGCCTAATCCACATCCTGGGGCATGCTCAAAGCCCTATGTACAGATAATTTACACGAGAGTTTTTACAGCCGAGATTATAAGTCATATACTGAGAACAGGTTTTAAGTCTGGACTTAAAAAATGTCAATTGTGTCAGAGCTTTTAATATGTGCCTGAACCTTGTCAATCAGAATAAACAAGGCGTGATGAGGCATCCTCTATAACGTATGTAGAATCTGTCAGTGGTCTTGAATAACACGCGGCCTGTATTTAGAATTCCCCACCAAATAAGCGCACGTGAAATCAAACATATTTGTATCTTTTTGTTTCAGAACATTGGTGGAACGGTATGCCGATCGTAACGTCACGCTAAGATTGGGATTTTAGGGGGTTTACGATTGGAGTAGGGCTAAGATCGGTTAGTGGAACGGCACCCAGATCCACTTTGATGCTACAATACCCTGCTCTTATAAAGTCTGGAATTTTGGGAAGACCAAACGTAAGCAAGTACGTATTGGTCCTGATGACCTCACCATTTCTCTTTGAAGAGAAACGTTTCACAGATATCAGATTTGGGCATTTTAATTCTTCTAACATATCATCCTCTGTCATGTCACCGAGGAAGTGACCTCTGTCTCGTACTATCCCCTTGCAGCTGTCAAGAGACCTGTGCGGGAAAACCACAACTGGAATATTTGCAAGTTTCTTAGTTGAAAGAAGACTAACAGCTTGTCTGTGTCGCTTGCATTTTATTAGCAAGCATCCACTGCGTAGTCTCTTTGCATCTTCAACATCCCCGGCTATACCTTGTATAGCCTTCTGGACAGCAAATGGATTCAGATTAAGAGGAGAGCCATCTAAAGTAGAAATGGGGCCAATTTTCGAAAGTCACAGGAGGTGTCCGCGGACTATCATTCTCAGTATCAAGATAATCTTGCGATTCATGAGAACGTTTTTTCATTGGGGGTTCCATGATGATAATAATTTGGTTTCACCCTCTTCGCTCCCCACCCACCATGAGTGTCAACAAGGACGACGTCATATGCCTGCGGGTCTCCAACAGGCGACACCAGGGATACCAGGAGGGTATACTCAAGTAAAACCATTAAGAAAATGATTTACCAGATTGGCCCATGAGCCACCGCCTTCTGGGCATGTTAGACTCTGGGCATATAATTTTCCATTTGTTTACAGTAAACAAGTAATGCATTTTAATAACTTTTGACCAAGTCCATGGAATAACTAATAAATAAGATGCGTGCAAAACAAAATACCATGCGCAGGGCTTGCATGTCCAGCCGATTGATTGAACCGGGCCAGTTCTACCACCTGTCTAGGTGAAGTCAGGGGCAAAGTAACGCTGTTCCTGGAACCAGTGCCCTCAACCACCAGACTCCCGTCCTCCACCGATACAGGGGCGCAACCCACGGCAAACGGGTTGGTGGACCAAATATACCCCCGGGTCCACAACGGGGGGTTGAAGAGCGCTTAGCGTTACCCAGCACCCAGCACCCACCACGAGGAGGTTGCTCTTCACGGGTGCCAGCTTGATGAAGAAAGATATCCCGTAGTAACGTCAGCCTCAGTTGATCACTACCTTGGTTAAGTTTACTACCGACACACATCGAAACATAATCAGGGTGAATGTGGTATTCGAACCGTAGATTACAGAATGGGTTCCGGATGGTCCGTTTTCCTGACGCCCCATAGGACGCCATTTGAAACAGGCAGACTGTAGTAGAGGCGCCTCAGAAAACTACACCATCCGTGACCCATTTTGCGGAAATCAAGCATAATGTGACTGCGGCCTTTTCCTTTGAGTGAGTGAGTGAGTTACATTGTACATCGCATCGGCAATATTACAGCTTTATAGCGATGGAAACAAGGTAATCAATTTAAGATATCTGTCGACATAATTATAAGACAGTAAAACCAACTAGACTGCCACAGATATATATTTAAAACTAGTAAATAAATCTAAAATACTTAACCTATAGAGGACGATACAATATAAAAAACAGGCTATAGATCGCCAACAACTGAAGGCAGATCACCATACTAGGGACCCTTTTCGTTTGAACCAGTCTGAGCTAGGATAATTCGCAGTAACATGTGGTATTTGATACAATTCTTCTCCCACCATTTAATCATTGTCGGAAACTGTATGAATATATACGATCTCGCATTTACATTTAAATAGTATTTGAGTCATTTTGTGATGGAAACAATGTATGCATAAATCAGTAATGTTTTAGACTATAAAACATGTCAGCAATGGACCATCAAAGAATAGAACTTGAATACCTCCGATTTTTAAGTTAAAGCTAGAATGTTGTCATAAAACATACCACAATTCAGTCAAAAAGAATTAATGTATTCAGATTCGACCAGGGCAATACGTTCATGCAGCATGATACATGTCCAGCATCCACGAAAGGCGACAGTACAACATGCCACAGTACGTTTCCAAATTCGAATATCAACAGTGAGCTATAGTGAGTGAGTGAGTTAAAATATAAAGTCACATCGGCAATATTTCAGCTATATCGTGACTAAAACAAGTTAAGAATTCACCATAAATACATATAAATTATGAACAAAACTGTCATCGAAGGACAGTAAAAGCGACTAGAATATCACAGTATCAAGGAATAAAACTTTCTCTAAAATTAGATTTTAAATTAGGACAAAACAGTATAAAAATGGGCTATAGATCGCCAACAACTGAAGGTAGATCACCATACCAGGGACCATGGGGACTTACACTGCTTTTGCTACCTGCATGGACCCTTGTTGGATTTACACCATCCCTTCAGCCGCTGGCGATTGTAGGAAAGTTAAGCCATAATTTAAAACAACGAATATGCTACGATTAAAAGTTCGGTAGAGTGATATTGCCCTTGAAAGTTTTGGGACTTACGTACCCTCTCAGGAGGACAATAAGAGCTATAGCTCACCACCAGCCAAAGTTGGGTGTCGGTACTGGGGGCCTACTGACCTCTGGCTACTGGCAGTTATCGGAGCTAGGTCATACACTTGAAGGTAATACCTTCTCAGGTCAACAGTTAGTTAATGTTACTGCAACCCCTGCTGAAGGTACATTCACTACAGTGATACATTGTTTAGCTTGTTTGCAGATATATTTTTGTGCCTTTCCTATGGCTTTGGATTCGGCTATAAAAATGGAAAGGTTATCTGCTTGTGATAATATTGTCCTGGATCCAAAGACGTTGGCACTTGTAGCAAATGTCGCCATCCTTGAATCCATCTGTAAATGCATATTTGTATTTGTTTGTTTTTTAACGTTTAGCACACAGCAATATTCCGCTATATGACGGTGGTCTGCAAATAATCGAGTCTGGACCAGACAATCCAGTGATCAACAGCATTAACATCCATCTGCTCAACTGGGATACGATGACATGTGTAAACCAAGTTAGTGAGCCTGACCAACCGATCCCGTTAGTCGCCTCTTACGTCGGCGTAACCTGTTCCAAGCTAAGGCTAATCAAGTGTTTTCGCCTGAACATACACGAGAATGTATGGTAAAGAAATGCAGTAGAAAATAGCATTCCCTAGAAGAGCCTTACAGGTTCATAGTGGTCAGCATCATACGAAAGAAAGAAGAAACACCACCCTTACCTTGTCTCTGCAATGACGGATAACCCAGGTGTAGTTCAGACTCCCAAACAAATGCAAAGAGGCATAACGCCCTGACATACATGCCCAGTCACTGCACAATAGTGTACAAACAACATGACATGCATGCCCGATCACTGTAGAAGCTTGTCAAACTTAAACTGCTCATTCGGGTTTTTTATATATTTGATTTACAGGGTTTCTTTTCAGATTTGGTCGACGTTCGAAATAAACACAGCTTTGTTTTCTTAACAATTAAATGTCGATAGCACGAGTTAGGTTTACGCCGCTTTTAACAGCATTCCACCAATATCACGGCGGGGGACACCAGAAAGGGGCTCCACACATTGTACCCATGTGGGGAAGACATGAGCGAGACAGCAAAATAATACAGCTGACTGAACAAGCTGGAATGTCCTCGAATGCGAGGTCACGTTGAATGCTTGGTCGCGTGTAGCAATAAAACACTAAAAACAACCGGTTCCGCGCCAAAGAGCTTACAATAATCTACTCGGTCAAACACTGATAAGGATAACATACCTGACAGAGACTATGTCACAGAGCTCTTGAAATTACATCCTATATTGACGTATTTCAGAGAACAAGAATGACAGTAATATTGACGACGATTCTGGCAGTTCTCTACAGTGACAACACATACCGAACGATGTTTCGAATTGGCATGATGCAGATGGTAAGTAGATCATTCATGAAATCGGGTTACATATGGAAGTAATGTTTCAATTGTCATGGTAACATTTGCTGTCATAGTTACCGTTATGTTCCACCAATAAGGTGAGACCAATATATATTATTTATTAGTATTCGTAAGCATGATTTTCTTGCTATCTATTGGAAGTCGTACGCCGCATTGCTGATGATTAAGGACGGTCCCAGCGGGCACATCAACGTTGCTTCAACGGACGGAGAGAGAGAGAGACAGAAAGAGAGGAGAGAGAGAGAGAGAGAGAGAGAGAGAGAGAGAGAGAGAGAGAGAGAGAGAGAGAGAGAGAGAGAGAGAGAGAGAGAGAGAGAGAGAGAGAGAGAGAGAGAGATTGATTGTTTATTTAAGACTAAATTTAATGCATAATGTAAAACATCAATGTACATGACACAGTGCTAATAACACAACATCATCTGCATTTGGCATTATACGGTCACTCACGCCACCAATTTAAATGTCACAGTTCATCATATAAATGTCACAGTTCAGGGCCTCCTTTCACAAAGCACCTCAAATTTTTGTATTTTGTACGCATGCGCAGTACATAAACTATGACATACTATTTTCAGCGTTTCCCCTACGATCTTTAGTACTGCCATTTATTACACACCTATACTTTTCATAAATAGTGATTTACAGGTTCAAAAAATACATAATTTTAGAATAATACAAAACATTTTGAAACAATTAACACTCTTTTCCCAAAATGGAGGTTTGCAGACAACTTTTTGGACTATTGAACTCTTTGAGAAATGTGTGCATGCTTGGGATTTATCTGATTACAAATGACTGAAAATGAGCATAATACGTGACAAAAGAAATGCAGCACAATAAAAAAAGTCTTGGATATGTTTAAGAATCAAAATCTATGTGATTATTCCCCAACTTCATGGCTCAAGGGCAACAAGGGAGATACTTCAGATTGTCTTTCACAAGGGAGCAGTCATATTTTCCGGTACAAATCATACTTAATTGGTTTTATTGTTTAATGGTAAATATCAATTGATTAAGTGCAAACACTTATCCTGACTCATACTGATTGCTTATCTATCTCATTTGCGAATAGTAGTGGAAAATCAAGTGCTTGTGTTCCCCTTCAATAGTTATTATTAAATATCTATTTATGATTTTACTAAGAATCATTAAGTCAGCAAAGCGTGCCAGTGAAACTTTTACCGTCGGGCTGGATAGTTTCATTATCAGCTCAGCTCAGGCAGCGAGTGGGACTTCTCTCAGGAAGCGCTGCCTAGTCGCTGCTTACACTCGATGGGTGCACTTTCAGATGTCCTTCCCCTGTAAAACTGTGCCTGAACAAATTTGATTTGGCTTTTTGTTTGGTTTACACTCATTTCTTGTCCTTGTCTTTCCTTACCCACTCTACCTCGCCATGTTTCAGATAAAGCAATTTGCATTTGTCGAATCACAGATTTAACTCCCCTGTTCCTTCACTCCGTTGAACCGGAAGCCGGCAGGGGTAATGGAGGCGAAGAACGATTGTATATGGCACGTATATATTACGTGAGTAATTATTAAATATGATGTTGGAAATCTGAGAGCACAACCCTGTGATGAAATGGGTGTCTACCTTTGGTGTTGGCGATATTTTATTTTGACATTAAAAATATTTTTCGAACCGAAGCGAGGGAAGTACGTTGCCAATGGGAAGACTGGTATTTTTTCTCTCTGTTGCGCAGCCCTATTTGCGCAACAGTTTGCCTGTGGTCGAATCCAGTGGACGTGTCAGTGGAACTGGAAAAGGACTCGACAAAGAGCAATTGTGTCTCTCGTGTAATGACTTCAAGATCATCAGTGTAAGAGGTGTTGGGGAGGGGCAGGATGATAACGCAAATGATAGTGGCAAACAGAAAAGCAAAGGACTGAAATAATCGCCCTAGAATATTCGTTAGCACCTGTCCCAGCTAATACGGTTTTTGCCTCTTCAAGGATATTTATTTGTTTTGAACCAACAATTGATCCTTGCAATCCCAACATCCCTTTGGCTCCTTCCTGCTTCACGTAAAGAGAGTGAGTTTAATTTTAAAGTCACATTCAACCATATCGTGACTAGGAGAGTTCCATAATAAAATAAATACATGTCAAGGACAGTAAAATAGCTATACTATCACAGATTAACATTTAAAACTATCATGTAATCTAAACACAGAACAATATATAAATGGGCTATGGATCGGCAGTCACTGAAGGTAAATCACCACACTAGGATCCATGTGGACTTACAGGACTTTTGCTACATTCATGGACCCTAGCTGGATTTACACCATCCCCTAAATCACTGGCAATAACTGGCACGTTTAGCCAAAAATCGAAATATATAGTTGCTTCACGTAAAGAATAGCGGTGGGGTACCATTACACAAACGAGTGGTCTCCTGATCAAGACGTTAAACTGATACCAGCTCGTTTTTATTCATAACTGGCGTTGATCATAGAATCCTCAACTTCGAAAAGTACGTAAGTCCCGAAACATTCAAAGGCAATTTCAATTTACCAGATTTTTAAATGTAGCACTTTTTGTCATTTTAAGTTTGGCTGGTGAATTCTAAACTTGTTTAAGTCACGATATGGCTGAAATATTGCCGATGTGACGTTAAATATTAACTCACTCGCTCACTCACTCAACCTCGAAAAGCCAAATCATGTTGTCGTGCTATCTAGTTATTTGACTGCCATAACATTTAAGGATGTAATACATCGACACACGTTCTGTTGATATTGCCATGGTCCCTAGTATGGTGATCTACCTTCAGTTGTTGGCAATCTATAGCTTAGTTTTATATTGTATTGTCGTGTATAGTTAAATGTTTTAGATTTGGTTAATAGTTTTAAATTTCTACCTGTGATAATCTAGTTTGTTTTACTGTCCTTCGTTGACAGGTTTTTCTAATTCACCTTTAATATAAATTAATCTATAACTTGATTTAGTCACGATATGGCTGAAATATTGCCAAAGTGACTTTAAATTTTAACTCACTCACTCAGTCACTCAATGTTGATATTCGAACTTGGAAACATACTGTGGCATGTTGTACTGTCGCCTTTCGTGGATGCTGGAAAGGCATCATGCTCATTGAATGTATTGCCCTGGTCGAATCTGAATACTTTATTTTTGTGATCAAGTGATTGAAGACCTTGAACTTGAATGACATATCAGTGACCTTTACCCGCTTTATCAATCACCACAACTCGCTTTTCCTCATAAACATGTACCCTGTTTGTTGCAGCGCATGAAATATCATCCGAAATTGGTATGGACGGTAGTTCTCTCTACATATGGCACTGCAAATATATATATAGCCACCATTAAGGATTCATCAGTGAGCCTAATGGAAATTTACAGTGATCTGCTGTCTTAAATCAAAAACATTTTCAGGCAGTAAAAACACATGATAACAAACATGTGCTACTCGCCCGTACTGGTAAAAATGTTATTTTCTTATTTGTGTCAGCAAATGGCTACACAACGAGTACACCTGATCGTGTACTCTGTAGTTCGATAAATATTCATAAATATTCAACAGGTTTATTTCGGGTTCATGCTTCTACGTTTTTCTAACTTAATATTCATTCATTTCTATCATAATATTCACGATGGAACTTGTGTGACTGAACGATGTGCGTTTTTGTAATTGAATAGAACATGTCCGCTGCACATCACTGATCGAAACATGGCGTTTTAACTTGGTCTTGACCATAAGGAAATATAAATCTTCATTGGCGAGATTCCGCTGCTCCGCGCATGATTTATATGTTGAAACTGGGAGATACCAAGGTATTGAGAAAGAAAGTAGAATCTGCCAAATGTGCAACTTACACGAGGTCGAAGATGAGTTTCACTTTTTATGTGTTTGCCCAGCATACTTATCGTTAAGAAATAGATCTATAAAGAAATATTATTATGTACATCCTGAAATGCATAAGTTTATATCATTGATGAATAATTCCAGTAAAACGCATATAGAAAGATTGTCCATATATATCCATAAAGCTTTTATTCTCCGAAAGAATGCTCTACTACCCGCACATGATTAATCCATGTACTACAGGCCTGTGGCCTTTCAGTATGAAATAAAGAATAAAAATAAAACTTGGTTAATTGGTTGGTTGTTTACCGCCGCACTCAGCAATAATCCAGCTATATGGTGGCGGTCTGTAAATAATCGTGTCTGGACCATACAATCCAATGATCAAAGTCATGAGCATCGATCTACTTACTGAACACCCGATCCCGTCAGTTGCCTCTTACTACAAGAATATATATCTGAAGACTAATTCTAACCCGGACCTTCACGGGTCGTTGTTGAACAAGATGACAATCTATTCACATCAATGTGAATGTTTTACTAAATATTATATTTTTTTGGAAACAATGTCT